ACTACTCATTAGTTCATGTGAAAGTTCCACCAGGGGCTTTCAAACTCTACCATTGGAGGATTTCTGCAAACAGAAGGAGCAGGAATTTTTTACCAGTTCTCCCCTTCCGCTGTAGACTGACTCCCCCCCCCCATGTTGTTCCTGGAAGTGGGGGTCTCCTCTCTCTCAACTGCAACATTTTTGGGGGGGCTTTAAGGGCTGTGGCAGAAGAGGGAGATGAAGAACTTGTGTACCACTGAAGGAAATCCCTTCTAGCCACTGAGGATCCAGAGTAGAGTGTCATAGGCTGTGGCGAGGGGGAGCTGACGGCTTCAGCAGAACCCACACCTGGCCCCGCTGAAGCTCCAGAAACTGACAGTTTGCCATCCCGCATCAGTAACAGCTGATGAGGAACAACTACGAACAGACAGCCCCCCCCCCTTGCCTCCGTGGGTTGCTCACTTAAGGGACCGACTCCACTAGTACTTGGCGTCTCAGCAGCAGGAAGCTTGCTTGCGGGGCAGACGGTCCTTCAGCCCTGAGTTTTAACAGACGCTTGGCCGCTCACGCCAAGCACTAATTGGAAACAGCAGCACAGGGGTATTTAGCTCCCTGCTTTAGGCCAGCTTCTTTGTGAAAGCAACTAGTCAATCTCATGATGCTCTTGCACCCACCTCGTCCTAGTTTCCGGACTCCACCCCTGCTCTGAACTCTTGGCTTTCTGACCTCGGCTCTGAACGACTCCACTCCTGGTTTGGGTGTTGGACTTTCGCTATTGGCTCCTGCTCTACTCCTGCTCGGCTTCAACCTCAGACTGAACTCAGACTCCCTCTGCCTGCGCCCCAGCCCCTGACATAGAGATTCCAAAATGAGTTTAGGTTACATATGAAATGAGAGGTAGTGATATGGCCTCACTCAGTGTAAGGCGGCTACCCATAGTCAAGCCATATTGGTCCATCTAGGCAGTATTGTCTACTCTGGTAATGGTCTTCCAGGGTCTCAGGCAGAGAAAAGTCTTTCTCAACACCAGGTACTTTGCATCTTTTAACTGGAGATGCCAGAGACAAAGACTTGCATGAAAAGCATGTCCTGGTCCCGGGACTCCGGCCACAGCCCCCACCTCCTGTGATCCCCAGCACCCCCCTCTCCCGGTCGGGAGGACAGAGCAGCAGCCCCGGACCCACAAGCAGTTGAGAGACTCCCGAAGATTCTTGGCGGGGTGGCACAAGGAAGAGGAGTTGACAGGGAAGATACGGAGTGGAGGGCAGCCAGCTGACCAAGATTGACCACAAGACCCAGCACATCAGGAAAGCCCTGGGGAAGACAACGGCCCGGAGGCGGAGAAACCTTCGGAAAGGATCCCCGATGTAGCCAGCAACACCCGCACTGACACGCCCTCGACAGGGAGAAAAGTCAAGGCTCTTGAAGGAGGGCGGGGCTGGGAAGGCGGACGGGCTGGCAGGGTCGAGGGGTGGCACTGGGAATGGGGAATAAAAGGAGGAGATGCCGAGGAGGAGTAGCACGGACTGGCTAAGGAACGTGGTGATAGCTGAGGTAGAGAGAGAGAGAGCACGCTCAGCTAAGGACATGCCTCTTGGGACCCGGCTGGGTCTGAAGCCATGTACCCTGCCAACAGAGGGAACACCAGGGTGACACTAAACCCTGTCTCCTGTCACACTGAGGCCTCGTTGACATGCTTCCCTTAACCCCGACCTCACTCTCAGGGCCGCCTCGCCTGCAGGAAATGCCAAGACACCACGGCCACAGGCAGGGAAGCTGGGAAGGAGGCGAGCATGTCCCAGGGCTGACCAGGATGTAGGGCCAAGGAAGAGGCAAAGCCCCCCAAAACCCCAACACCGACAAGATAGGCCCTTGCACTCACTGGACGCCATGGGAGGAGAGGAGGAGGACCGACAGGAGCTGGAGCTGGGGAGCTGGGGAGAAGCTGAGTTGCAGTGGTGGAGTGCATGGGCGAAGGGCCGTTGCTCCGCCAGTGAGAGACTGCGTCAGAAGAAGCTGGGCTGCCGGGGCGTGTTGGAGGCCATGGAGCAGAGCCGCGTACCAGGGCCGGGGAGGGGGGAGCGAGGTGCGGAGACCCAGAGAACCAGGAAGGAGCAGCAGGAGCCACGCTGAGAAGCCGGAACGAAGCATCAATGCCCCAGGGGCAGAGCTGGAGGCGAGGAGGCCGGCGTTACTCCTCTTAGAGAGGGGCAGGGCTGGCAAGGATGGCGGTGTGGATAACAAGAGAGGGAATAAAAGAGCAGGGAAAAGCGGGCCAGGGAGGAACCAGAAGGGGACATCGCAGACCGAGAGAGAGTACGCATTGCGAGGAATCAGTTAACCCTCGGGGGGGGGTCAAGAGCGGTGGAGTAACCACTCTGATGTGCACCCCGAGGCCCTGCTTCCTCCTAAGCTCTTTCAACTTGCTCTCTGGTTGCCTCCGTAGCGCCCTCCCCAGCAGTTCATCGAATCCAGACGTATTTACGGCCCAAACAGAAGGAGGGCGTCATGGCCACCGGAGGGGCGACCCTTGAAGGCACTCCAGGGCCTGACAGAGCGACCTTGACAAAACATGTGCTCTACCATGAAAACAATGGCCCCTCTCCCTAACTTCTCTCTTATTCCTTCTGAAAGGAAGGAGTTACATGCCTTTGATACAGCATTTGTTGTGAACACTACTGCTGAGAATACACAGCACAGGTTTCTTACTAAAGGTCTTTGTCATAAATGGTTTGTGAGCTTTTTTGCACTAGCCTTTATTTGCACAAATAATTTTGTTGGGCATATGCAATTACATGGGCACGACAGAGAGACCATCATTTTCTCTCATTTGGATCAATTATCCCTTTTAGGAACTAATCATTTAGAATCAGCTAAACTCTTTTTTTGGTACATGGAGTAAATTACTGTTTTCCTTCTCCAAGGAGCAGCAGGCATCCTCCAAATAAGTGGTTGACTTCTACATGGCCTTTGTATAAAGGCACTGTGGAAGTCTCAGCATAAGTCTGAGTGCAGTATTTAAGTCTATAGTCACTGGGGGGGGAGAAATTTCACATCTGTTCTTGCAGCTTGTGATATTGATGGCTTCACACTTGGAAGTGTTCATTTTCACAACTTCTTTAAATCCTTTCTCACCTGACCTTTTACAATAGGAAGGCAGAGCTGTCAAAATGTGTATGGACATCAAAGTCTCCCAAGATTATTTTGGAAGCTATTTGGATGCAGAGTCAAACACAAGTGTCAATTTCATTATTTTATTCAAACTCCTGAGCTTGATCCTGTGATGTGTCAAGAGTCATCCATTTTCATTGACTCTGACAGCTTGAAGATGTATGTTAATAGAGATGGGCTGAGGGCAGAAAATAAATCATATTTAGAGCTCAGTAGGGCATGTGGAATCTCTCCAGCATGTCTACATCCTTAACAGTTTTGTTTTGCGATCTGTGGGCTTTTCTCTTTACCAGTCCATACAGGCAAAGGGGGCCTCTTCTCAGGCAAAGAACAAATTCTCATATTGTCTAAGTGACATTGGAACTGCCAGAGTGTGACTTCTTCCCATCCCACAAAAGAGCCCTAAGATCATGTGGAAGGAGCTGGCCACGTGGTATTTCCCATACCGGTGAGAGGTGAGTGATGCTGGCATGGGAAGTAACTGCACTATGTCCGTCCCATGTGATTCCAGGGGTTCCAGCATTAAAGGAACACTAATGAATGAAGCTGGCTATGGGGACCCCTGGGACAGGCCATCAGAACTCAGAGTTGCTGCCCTGACCTGGATAATCCAGGCAAGCCCAATCTTGTCAGATCTCAGAAGCTAAGCAGGGCCGCCCCTGGCAAGAACTTGGAAGGGAGACCTCCAAGGAATACCAGGGCCAGGATGCAGAGGCAGACAATATCAAGCCACCTCTATGATATGTCCAAGCCCCCTTAGAGGGTCTCCAGAAGTCACCATGACTTCCAGGCACACAAGCACATGCAAACACACACACAGTACTTGCGCGCGCACACACAAAAAGAACTCAAAGTTGCCTTTGTTCAAAAGACCTGGAAACATATTTTCTAGACTCACTACAAACCTCCGTTCTTGCAAAGGAAAAGAGACACAGGCCCTTTTTTTTCTTTTGTTGTTCAACCATATCCCCATTTTCTCTCTCTGCGTCTCTGTTCTAGTACAAATACCAATGGACCTACTCCACAGAGCATCTAACCCTTCCATCCACTATCCCTTCCACCTAAACTGTAGTCATCTGTACTGTATCTGAATATCGCTGCGACCTCAGAATGGAGTGAGGCTTTCACTAAAGTTGTGACCATTTGGGTACAGTATTCCTCCATTCAACAGTTGTTTTGCTTGGGAAGACTACTGGAGCAAAAGGAAGATGACGTTTTGTGGTGGAAATGTCACAGAGCTTTTCTTTTTTAACAGATGGTTCTGTTTTGCTTACCCTTGATCTATGCCAGGGAAGTTCTGGGCAAAACATTAGTTCTATATGCCCTTATTGCTGCACACATGGTCTTTGCACGCCTTTGGAAGAAGTCCACATCTCATAACCGAGAGGAATAATGGTTAGACAAACCAAAGGATTACTTAAGTATTGTTAGACTGGCTTATTTTCTGAGATCTAAAAGTTTAACAGACATGGGCAATTGGAGGCAGAGGCTTCTAATGTACGGAGGACTTTTAACATGCTATTGCATGTTGTTTGGGTTTGGCTACATTCCTCCTGTTATATTTGAAATTATGTTTTCTTTCGTTATATAGAAAATAAAAACTTTTACAAATAATTCATGCAGAGCATGTGCACAAAAACATTTCTCTCTTATTAAAGCTCTTGGGCAAGTTTCAACTGGGCAGGGATCGTGCATGCTCAGATTTGGGAGTGAGGATTTTTTCTTTGCAGTCAGAGATTATCCCATGTGCTAACCTATGCTGGAAATTGTCCCAAAGTCAAATTCAGATTATTCTCTGTCCAGCTGCTTATAAGCGGGCAAAGACCAAATCACATGCCGTTGGGTCTTACCTGACAAATAAACCCAGTTGATGAGCACTGCCGTACCCAGAGACTGAATTTCCGCTTTTTCCTCTTGCGTGACTCTCGCTCTGTACAAGTGGCAATAAAAATTGGGTCTTCATCAATCAGAGGTTCATGGAGCACCTGCAATAACATTACGTAGCATTAGCCAGTGCCTTTCATGCCTCTAAAATAAGAGTGGTATATTGACGAGACTTTGGAATTTGGTAACCCACACTTCGCCATGAAACTTGCCAAATGACCTTGGGCTAGTTTCAGTTAAACCTAACTCACTGGGTTGTCAAGAATAAAATGGGATCACTGCGTATATGCTGTGCTGGGGTTCTTGCAAGGAAGTTAAGACTCAGATTAAATTAAAGAAACAAAATAAAATCTGCTCTCCCTTGGTTTGGAGAGTCAAGCCATCTTAAATTTGATGGTGATGGTACTAAAACCCAACAAACAAGCTTGGAATAGATTTCCAAAAAAATGTACTATTCAGACTCTACAGGTAATCTAAATCCCCACTAATTTTGGAACATATGTCTTTAGGGGAACATTTAATAGCCATTGTAGCAAAATATATAGACACATTCAATGCTCACATCTGCCTTTATCATGGAACACCCTTGTGGTCTCTGGAGCACTCATTATTGTCTTCTAAAGCTGTTGCTTACACCTGAATTGGCATTAGCACTCACAATATGTTTTCTTAAACATGCATAGACCTGTAGACTGCAAGTGGAACAAGGAACAGCTTGCTTATGAGCCTGTCCTCTCCAGAGGGCACCCCCCTTGGTAATTTCAATTCCCTCTACAATGTCTATCCTTGGCTAACTTCATGTTGGTTCTTGCCAGCTTTGTTCCACTTCTCCGGCTGCCCAATAGCATGACAGTAGAACTTTCAAAACAAAAAGTTACTCATTTGAAATATGTATCTGTTTTGGAAAGCATCTCTCATGGCAGCTAGTTATACTATACAATGCATCACAGGATTCAGCACTGGAAAGCATCTCTCATGGCAGCTAGTTATACAATGCATCACAGGATTCAGCACTACAATTATTCTAAACATGTTAATAGTGGGGAGAAAATTTCAAAGCAGAAAACGGATATAATCTTTTTGGCTATAATTTTGATTTGCAATCCATATCTATTCCAGGGGGCTGGAATCAATCATGTCACTTAAAACTGGTTATAGGTGGATTGTAATTAGGGATATGCATTCGTACGAACCGAATGCACCCCTGAAAATGGCCCATTCTGACCCCTTTTGGGCTGCTGCAGGCTGATTCAGATTCTCTGATCTGAATCGGCTTGCCGCCGAATTGCCGCTGAATTTCGGCAGCAATTCGGCCCCATTATATCCTATGGGCCATTGAAGTCAATGGCGAAAACATAGGGTATATTCTGGGGGCTGGAAGGGAGGGGGTTTGAGGGAGAGGCTCCAAACGCACAGGGTAGCTGCTGGAGCCTCTCCCCAAGATACCAAACAAGTTTGAAGAACATTGGACCAGGGGGTCTAATTCTACGGGCCCTCAAACAGGTTGCCCCTATCCCTTCCATTGTTCTCTATGGTGGGAAAAAAGTAACTTTGGTGAGGGGATGACTTTTTTCTTTTGCACACCCCTAATTATAATGTGGATTATTTTGTCAAGCACCCTTTGGGCTCAGAATTGGGTCTAGTATGGATCAGGCCCCTCACCATCAGAAACGTGTCCCTCACTTTCCCCTTACTTCCTGAGATGCAGTTCCAGCAAAAGCAGCCAAATACTACTGTTAACAAGCCCTTCTTGACAACAACCCCTACCCCACCCCCTATAAGTAATAGTTGAGGAGGTTCTGTTCCACTGTATCTGAGGAAGTGTGCTTGCACACGAAAGCTTATACCGTGAATAAAACTTTGTTGGTCTTGAAGGTACCACTGGACTCAAACTTTGTTCTGTTAATAACAAGTGTTGCACTGAGAGATGCTGAGAACTACAGCAAATGTAGCATTCCTGGTTGATGTGATTCCCTGGAAAGTACCACACATATGGTATACAGAGGAATTGCAAAGAATGGCAAATGGAGCCAAAGCTTAGCAAATTCAACCTGCCCATTCTTTCTCTGTTTGAAGTGGCTCTTCTCTGCTTTACAGCTGTGGTTGCCAACCCCCAGGTAGTACCTGGAGATCTCCAGGAATTACAGCTGGTCTCTAGACTATAGAGATTAGTTTCCTGAAAAAAATGGCTAATTTGGAGGGTGGACTCCATGGCATTATATCCACTGAAATCCTTCCCCTCCCCATACCCTGACCTCTTCAGGCTCCACCACCAAAATCTCCAGGAAGTTTCTAACCCAGAGTTAGCAACCCCATTTACAGCTGTTTGTGTTACAATGCCATAATAAAACTATCATTAAGAGGCTAGGAAAGGGAATAATAATGGCAGAAGAGAGTCAGCAGGGTCTAATGGATAAGAGCGGCAGACTCTAATCTGGAGAACCAGGTTTGATCCCCCATTCCTCCACATGAAGCCTGCTGGGTGACCTTGGGCCAGTCACAGTTCTCTCGGACCTCTCTTAGCCCCACCTATGTCACAAGGTGTCTGTGGTGGGAAGAGAAAGGTGAGAAGATTGTAAGCTGCTTTGAGACTCCTTCAGGTAAAGCAGGGTATAAAAACCAACTCTTCTTCTTCTCATCTCCAGAAGGCACCCCCATTCCATATTACCAATTTAGTTCTGGAAAGGACAGAAGCAGCCAACCCCACCCTCATATTCTGTTCAAATATCAGGCTGTTTAGGTTGCAGTCTCATAGAAGGTCAAATTAAAGGACACTACCACAGCTCATCTAAAACCTACAGATAGACAACTCCCAGTTTGTAATATTTTATATATAAATTGCTATTTTCTTCTCAATTATTAGCCCCAAAGGTGTATCATTTCACACTGACTCCACGTCCACTGATGTCTATTAAAAAACCTCTCCCACAGTGGAATCTAAATTGTTTCTAAGTTTATGACTGCACTTCTTCATACGCATTGCTAGATGCCTAGAAGAGCACTGTCATTTCCTGTATCACTGTGAATGGAAGGGGGTTGCAAGTGTCCTCATGGTTGTTATAGGCAACAACTTAAAATCCAGACACAGGTGCTTGCTTCTAAAAATGTGAATATTGTTAAAACATAACTACACCCCAGCATCCCCATGTCTACACATTTTTAGCTCTGGGTCTGGTGCGCATGTTCATTCACAGAGGCCTTAATGGCTCACGAAAAATTTATAGCACCATCTGAAAGCACTTAGAATGTACAGATTTAACTAAAAAATAAGAGATGCACGTGTGCTGATCTGCAAAAACTCTATTTGATACTCAAGGAAACAGAGACGTTAGGCCAGATTCTCAGAGCACCAATTCTATTCTTCAACAGTAAATACTGAACAGTCAAAAAGAATAATACAGATAAAAAGGATGTCTGTGTGTGTGCTGGAAATAGATGCAGTAGCTTGGCATCTCAGGAACAATATGGGAGGAAGACGGATTTGTTTAAACCTGGCTTGGCCCCAGTCACATGTTAAGTGCAGGATAGGAGTCTGATTTACCAAACAAAAGGCACCAAATGGGGCGGTGACATATCCATTCTCCTACCAACAGCTTACCCCTACAGAGTCAACCTACAGGGGGAATAGGAAAAGTTCAGCACCCATTTTTGCTCTAAAATGTGGCACTCCTCCCCTTACTCATGATTAAAGCAGATACAGATTTAATCAAATCACATTAACTTGGGATCAAACCATCTACATAGGAAGGGTTGGGGCTTGCTCGTTCTAGTGATGTTGTACAATTGTAGCTTCAGGGTTTGATGCAATGAAGGATGTTCCATTTTCCATTGTGTGCTTTCCCCCTTGGCCATATTTCCTTATTACCAAGTGACAGAGATGGTCCAAGATATTTTGGTGCTTGAGGAACACTGCAAATTGTACCCTCTCCCAGGGGTCATTTCGTAGAAAAAGAGCTAGGGGGACTCATTAGCATAACTCATTAGCATATGCCACACACCCTGACATCACCGGAAGTGTGTCCTCCCCACAGCCGGCGGCGACCTCCAGCGGGCACCAGCAGGGAGCTCCAGGCCCTGCCCTCCCGCACCTCACCCGGGGGGATGGCGTCCCCCCGCGTCCCTCCCCAAATGACCCCTGCCCTCTCCTATGCTACTAAAGATATAATAATAAAATAAATACATAAACAATTATTTCCCATTGTCTGAAAGTATGTCTTCTGTATAAAAGCATTACATAAATGATTATCATCATCATCTTTATTTATTTACCAGATTTATATCCCGCCCTCCCAGCCAAGGTTGGCTCAGGGCGGCTTACATAAAAGAATAAAAACACACTAGTAAACAATTTAAATAATCCTAAAACCATATAAAACATTCCAATATTAAAAGGTGCTAAACATTAAATAATACTAGTAGATTAATATTATTAGATTACTAGATGATGGTGGCCAACCTTTAGAGATTTATCCTAGCGGTCAGCCCATAGATCTATTCCTTTGGGCAGCTGGCACAGGCTGTTTCTGATGGCTCCAGGGACAGGGTTCTCTGCCATTCCAGCTGTTGGGGGTGGCTTCTAACTGAAGGCCTAGTGGAAGAGCTCCATCTTGCAGGCCCTGCGGAATTTTCCTAAGGGCTGATTCACACATGACTCTCCAAAAAAGGGAACACACAGTATCAACAGTTGCCCATGCCCAAGCATTCTTGGTTGTGGCTTCCATCTTATGGATGGGTATGAACCGAACCACGAGGCCCTGTTCGTGGTTCGTGAACAGAAGTTTGTGATGGGTCTACCATCATGAACTTCCACAAAATTTTAAAACAATTCGTGGTGGTTTATGGTGGGTCATGGATAGAGCAGAAAGCAGGGGGTTAAAGCGACTCTGAGTCACTTTCAGTTCCCCCATGAAAGCTACAAAAACAGCTTAGCCCCGGGGAGGCATTCCCTGCCACTCAGCTGTTTCAAGCTGCCTTGTGCAATCCCTTTAAACTTTAAAGGGACTGCAGAAAACAGCCCCAAAATAGCTGAGCCCATGGGGAGCAGTCCAGCAGAAAGCTGTGGCCAGAAGAAAGGAGGGGGTGAAGTGCCCCCTCGGAGGAA